GCCAAGAGAAAACCAAACTAAAATAAAATAGGCGGAAAACTTAAAGGGCAAGGTGTGTGTGACTAAAATATACCCTGTATCCCTTGATGGAATATATATGAATCGACAAAATCGTTATATAAATGCTGTTAGAAAGATAAATATTTGGATAAATAGAATGAAATACAATAGGTAAATGGCTCGTGAGAAGGTTAGCTATATACAGATGGACGGATGATGTTAAATAGTCAGATAAATTAATGAATAAGCAGGCAGACAGATGTAATCCAATAAAAATGGGAGAGATTAACAAAAATAAAAATAAAGCCCAAAATAACTAACACCATATACCCCTCATTACACCAATTTACAGGGCATACCACAACGAAGTGAAGGGAAACAAAATGAAAAGGAAAAGCTGACAGCTTGACGAACGTTGACAGGTGCCGGGCAATGCGAGCCGAGCACACATGTCCCATGTGCGGATGTCTGTGCGTGTGTGTATGTGAATTAGTATGTGTGTATGTGTGTAGCAGACAGGTGTAAAAGCAGCGGCAGCCGTCGAAAGTGTTCGCCTTGTTTTGCTTGTTGTAATTGACACTTAAACTCAAAATTTGACGCGAATTCCTGAAGCACAGCGCAAAGCGCAGCAGCAACAACAATGGCGGCTGCCTCTCAAAAGCGTGGAAAGGCATAGTTTGGATAAGGGGTGAGGGGTTGGGGGCTGGATGCAGACGATTGCCGGCCAGCGGCAATAGCAGCAACAACAATGCAATTCAAGTGATGCTTTCGAAGCGGAAGCTCTCAAGCTGCAGCCGAGACAAAACACACACACCGACAAACACACACACACACACACACCGACACACACACAGAGCCGTAATGAATTGTTATTTAAGCAAACTTGGATGTGCATTGAGCTGGGGTTGGGTTGGTTGTAGGGTATAGGGAGTGGCAGACGGGTTTTAGCTTGGCCTCAAATTCAGTTGCTATTAACTCAAAAAAATAAGTATGCGCTGCATACTTTTGTGCGCAGCCTGCGAACGAATTTAATGCCAGCTGCAAGCAGATGTTACAAAAGCCGCGCATTAAATTCACCTGCCTCCCCAAACCACTTCGTGCGACAGTCGCAGCAGCTTCCTACACACACACACACACACACACCAACACACTTAGAGTAGCAGCAGCTAAATTTATTGTTTGCGCCGGGCAACATTTTTAGTGCTTTGATTAAAGTAAAAATTTGCACACACATGTATGTGTATGTGTATGTAAATATATACTCTCACACATAGCATAGCTAGAGCAGATGCATAGTTATGTTTGTCATTTAACACATGTAATGCCGCGCCAATGGCTTTTGTTGTTGGCCGCCTGCTGTGAAAATGCGCGAATATTTAATGGCAACAACAACAACAACAGCATGCCACACGCCACAAGATGCTCAAGCGTTATGCATAGTCTTGGACTGCCAGCAACAACAACAACTCTCAGTGAAAATTGTGTTTGTGTGTTTTCTTGGGTGTGTGTTTGTGTGAGTGTTTGTGCAAAAGAGTGGCTTTAAAATGGATGGACCGTTACTTTTATGGCACTATGCTAATGCCCCAAAGAATGTTCCTTATGGCTTACTTACATAGATACCTATACATATGCTGATGTGCACACACACACACACACACACACACACATGCACACACACAAGTCTTAAATGCAAGTGGTTAGCTTTAACTTTGCCTAAGCAACAAAACAGGTTGACAAATCTCTGACAATCTGGCAACTCTGGCGTCACAAGTTCTGAACCACATATGAGATGGCAGCAAAAAACAGTTTTGAAGTTTTTTCATCATAATTAAGTGCAGCATTCATTGGCTGAAAGACCAACACTTAAAATTCTCAATTGGTTTGAGCGCTCGATTAAAAATATTGGATGTGTATTATTTAATATGTACGGCTGTTGGCGGCCCATTTAAGGGGTTTCCTTTTCAGTGTCAGACAATTCTGACAATTTCATTGAGCTGTTGAATATTTAAGCAAACACGATTCGATTACATTTCACATTTAACAGCACTGAACAGTGATTGCTGAACAAAAACAAATTGGTCGATGACAATTGAATATACATACCTCTCACATACTCTCGACCACATTCCCATAGACCTCAAGTGCTGCGTAATTAATTAAACCGTTTCCTAACTCGCAAAAATGTGTGTATGTGTTTTTGTGTGTACATATTAAGGGATAATCAACATTATAAGTGAAACCTGAAAGCGATTCTGATAAATTTGGGTAATATGAGGCCTTACAGCAGAAGCCCTTAGTAACCAGTATAGCTTTTACGATTTGCTATTATCATAAGGCATATAAACTTTGATGATAAGACGGATTACTCACAGACCAATCTTTAATTGATTATTTGGTTTCCAAATCTATTTAAATGTCAATTTGAACAGTTTAACAACTATCATTGAGATTTGCCAATATTTAACTGAGTCTTTGCAGACTGTATATATGAATTCAAAGCGTTGCTTAACACTAAACAACAATCTGTCAAGATATAAATGTGTGAATCGTCAAATATGCAGATGGGGCGCATTTCTGTTGCTTGTGCGACACAACTCTATTAACTGTCGTCACACACACACACACATACACACACCAACGAACGCACACCCACACATATATGCATGTTAACTGCTCTGACTGGCAAATTAACATATTTGAAGCGAGTTATCCCTTAATGCGGCGTCCCATCTTTCAGTTCCTTTTTCTGCCAGCCACACGCGGCGTATACGCAACTTAATGCCCTGTGTGTGTGTGAAGGTCACCAGCGACTGTGTCAACTGTGTGGCACCCAGCTGTCTGAGAGTCGCCTACCAATGGCCCTTTCTCCGTTCCTCCCAAGCCCCTCCCCCTCCACCATTTCCTCTCTTTGCCCTCCACGCAGTCACACAATGCCCGCGGCGCCAGTTTGTCTGCCGTTTTGGGCTGTCGTTTGTTTTGTTAATGAGCAAGTGCCCCACCCCTTGCCCTCCTCTGGCTCACATCTATAAAAATAAATAATTAAAACCAAGTGTTTGTTCCTCTGGTTGAGTTAAGCAAAGTCCACTGCAAATTACCATAGAGTTTATTCTTAAATTATTATTGAAATGAAACGGAATGAAAACGAAGCCCGACAAGATTGTGCATGTTTGCACGTTCCGCTTTTCGCTGACACATTTGGCAATTAATTTTGCAAAATTTATTCAACTGCGGTTTAGCTTTCTCTGCGGCCTCCAATGGTTGGTGCTGCTGTTGTTTTTCTCTTTTTTTTGTGTTTTTTGTTTGGTTAAAGAGCACGTCTGAAACCGCAGAACATAGTTTGTCTGGTTGCCGAATGTGGGGGAGGGGCAGCACAGGAATTGGGGCTAGGAGCGGTTAATTTGTGGTATTTGAATTTTTGGTTGCCAAGTGCAAGTTACGTTTCCGTTTCCGTTTTGACACCTGCGGCTCGGCCCGGCTCGGCTCGGTTAGGTTTACCTTCTATACACATGACCCTTAACCCGTCACCCCCATTAAAACCGCAAGCTTTCGCATTGGCAACTAAATGTGGCAACCTTTTTGGTGAATTGGGGCAATGCGTTTGTGTATTGTGGGAATATTGGATGAGTCTTTGGGACACCATAAAATGTGGAACTGTAGAGCTATCGATAAAGGAAATTCGTTTCACGAGTCAATTAAATAATATATAAATTGAATTATGATGGAAATATATACTCATGCATAGTAAATTCTACAAAAATTATAGACATATACATAGCATCGTGTCTGTGGGAGAATAGATGAGAAAGATCTATGGGATAGAGAGTACTTAACATATGCAAATGTGTGATTTCTAGGTTTTGTAGTCTCACTATAGAATACAAGTTATTCATTGTTAACTTAAAGTGGCTATTTATCGGGTCCTAAAGAAGATTCCAACATTATTACAGTTGCACAAAATGACACAGTTGTCAGGGAAAGTGTAAAGCTTATGTGCCGTGATTTTGGCTTCCACAGCTCGTGTATTTATAATGAGTTTTCACTTCAGGGGTGTGTGCGACAGTGTGAGTGCGAGTGTAATTGGTATATATGTTTCAATGCTCCATTTTTGTCCGTCGCCCAGTTGAAGCTGTTTATTTCCTGGTTAAATTCATTGCCACGGAATATTTACGCAACGGAGTATCGCCCACTTGGTACTTGTGTACTTAGTTTGTCCCTTTCAGGCGGCACTTTTCGCACTTTGGCTGTTGTTTTTATTCCCATATTTATTTCTTTTTTTTTTCTTGGTTTTTAGCTGGCTTTTTGTTCATTTGGCTTTTTGTGACCTTTTGGAAGCCGCTTAGCTACCAGACCATAAATTTTGAGCTGGAGTGTCCAGAGAGTTGGGCAATCGCAAAATATCAGAAAACTTTCATTTGAAGTGTATATGTATGTGTGTGCGCTTGTCTATATATATGTGCATGTGTGTGTGTGTGTGTGTATAAGTTGTACAGGTCTGTTGTGATCCCTATGCGCCCCCTTTTTGTCCTTTCTTTCTCCTCCTTTCCTTTTCTTTCATTTTGCATAAATTAACAAGAAGGCTAAAATACGAGCACTTGGTCAACAGTTTTTGCAATTTAGCCATATTTATTTTGTGTGTGTGTGTGTAAGTGTGCTTATGTATATGCGTGTAGAGAGTTGCTGTGCTGGTGTGTGCCAATTGGCACTCAACAAGGCAGCTAACCTTGTCACTCAGAAGGCAACTGTTAAATCTTGTTGAAGTGTTCGAGTGCTTTTGAATGAATAATTTCAACTCTTGCTGAATCAACATTTTTAGCCAAAATGGGGAAGTATGTGTGAAATGCACACAGTTTTGCCAGAGCTAACATGAAATCATAAAATGCAAATCAAATCAATGATGCAAAATAGAGTGGATTAAATAATTGATGTACAGGTAGATGACATTCAACAAGAAGCAGTTAAATGGCTTATATGTTATTTATAAATTTCCGAAGCATCAATCGATTAGGTTATGTTAAAAGCACTAGTCAGTTGTTGCTCAGCAAAAACTGAGTGGCCTTATGCCAATCAGTATGCTCGCAACATTGTCTCTGAGAATAGGACTCATAGTTCGCTGCTTTTCCATATTGACGGGCTGTGCATGCGCTTGGGAAAGCTGGTATAGGTCCGCATAGTATTCCATGCCGGGGATGCCAACCGCATTGAAACTGGCCGATACCTCGGTACAGTCAATGATCGAGGTCTTGAGAGGGGTTACCAGTAGTGTTGAATAGTACGGCACCTTCTTTCCCTCCATGAGCTCCCTGACGAGCAGCACGGCGGTCCGTGAGCCAGCCAATAGATTCCATCGCGACCAGCTAAAGTTGTGCGAGAGGGCCAGTGTCGAAATGCAGGCATACGTATGCATTTCCATAACATAGTTTTTCTCGCATGAGCCCTCCGTATAGCAGAAGGCATCCTCATCCGGGAAGATATCGACAGCAGAGAGAATCAGTGTCGCCTTCAGCTCGGCCAAGGACAGAGTCTTGCCAAGCATGTCCGTAATGACCTGAGTGCTGCCACCCTGGAAATTATTAACAGTGTAGCCGGACTCGGTAATGGTCATGTCCAAACTGATTAGCGAAGCGGTGAAGCTAAAGAGTATTGTGCCCGGACTGCAATGCAAAGCAAAACTACGAAAAATGATGGTATGTGAGAGTGGTTGTTTCTTACTTCTTCAAATCAGGTCGCAGATCCCAAGTTTGATAGGGCATATTGCTATATTTATTCAGAGCGAAGCCAAAAATGCCTATGTTGTGGTAGAGTAGTTTAATATGTCAGGCGATAACGATTTTTTTAAACTGAGTCACAAAATGTGCACAATTTTTTGTGTACAATATCTATTTGGGACGTTGCTTACCCAGTCGACCCGTGCGAAATTGTATGGAGAGCTTGTCCTCATTGAACTTGGTGTCGTGCACATCCCGTGTGCTCCACTTGCCCTGAGTGATGGCCGCTGTGCTGCTCAGTTTTTGTCTGCGACTATTGGGTTCAAGCGGATGCAATGAGAAACAAGTTTGAATAACTTATTTTAGATATATTGATATGCAGTTGAATATCATATGGAAAATAAATCGAATTGAAAAATGCACTTTGGTAAATATGAAAATACGAAAATACTTGTAGCCTTATTTCTTAAATAATATTGATGAAATTGTTACGAGTGATCAAGATTATAATAGTAGTAGCAGTAATAATTGTGGCTACTGTTGATATCGGCAATCGATGCTTATCGATATACTTCTTCGTCGTATGGCTTACGATATTTTATATACCAAATCTCGTCTAAACGGACTATCTAGGACTAGTGGCTGATCGAATCGGTTTGAATGGGAACAGGGTTTCAACAAAGAGAGAAGGAAGGATAAGTTAATACTGATTTACATACGCTTCACTATCACAGTTGTCACTATTGCTGTTTCTGCTCAGCACCTGTTGTAAAGTGCCGCCTGTGGAGGACTCTCCGCCCCCGTCGGCGTCGCCGCCCTCGAGCAGCTCGAGGAGGCTGTCCTCGTTATCGTCATCGTCCTCGCTGCTGTCCAGACTTTCCGCAGCGGACTTTGGCGTCGTCTCCGTCTCGTTGGTCTTCAGCTGTGTGTCCCGCACAAAGGAGATACCCGTGTAGTAGGCAAAGGCGGCAGCAGCTGCAGCTGGCTGCAGAACTTCGACAAGCTCCTGGCTAAGTGGACGCACGTCTTCTGTTAGATCCTCCTCGGTAACATCGTGCTGTGAGCCGCTTGCTGAGAGCTGCTCTGATATTTCATGCAGAAGCTGCTCCTGCTGCTCACGGGGCAGCTGCATACGCCACAATCGATCCATGTCTTCGATCAGCTGCGAGAACAGATAACATCCTCTGGGCGTCACGGGCGGTGGACGGGTCTGCGAACGAAACTTGAGCAGTTTGTCAAAGCAGAGTGGCGGAAATAACTCTGCCGGCCCAGCTGAATCCAGGAACTCAGCACCAATGCCAATGGACTTGCTCGCTGGCTGTGTGGAGTCCGTTTGTTGTTTTGTTGTTGCTGCTCCTGTTCCTGTTGCAACGTCCTGCATGGCTGCTGAACGCTGACCGAGTCGCACATGAGTTTGACGTGCCAGGAACATCACCTGTCGCTGCGGCTGTCCGTTGCTTGATTGCGGCGTCTGTTGCTCGAGGCGCACACAGAAGCCCTGCGGCAGTCGCGGCACCACAAAATCCTTGACCAGCCCATATAGATCGACATTGGCAGGAATCGCTCGCAAATCGAAATCGCCAATTTCACGCAGCGCTTGCGTTTGTATGGCGGCCAGATCCGATTTTTGGGAACGCAGCTGGTGCTTGGGTGGAGCACGGGGCGAACTCTTGAGCGGACTGGGCTGTGCGTTCGTTGAGAGTGGTGTCGCCTCGGTGGGCGTGGCTGTGGTGGCCGCTGCTGTCGCAGTTGCAGTTGCAGTTGCAGCAGCAGCTAAATCGGGCTTAACGCCGTCCGCCAGCTCGGATTCGAGTGTCTCGATGTGCGTCTCCCAGCGACAGGCAATCGGTGGCTCAAACCAAATCACAGAATCAGGCAGCCTGGAAGGCAAGTACATTATTTGAACTTGCTGCTTACTTAAAATCTATCAACTTACTGCAGAGTGACCAGAGCAAGTTTGTCCAGTGCCGCCTCAATCATGCGCATCTCGGCCTCAATCTCTTCGGGCAGTCGCCGCACGCCCGGCAACACCGGCGGCGGTGGCTTGTAGGTCTGATAATAGTCCTTATGCATCAGACTGTTGGCCGCAGAAACTGCAATCAAGCATAATAACAGATCAGACAGACAGTTGCCGAGACTTCTACTTGAACTGGCTGAGACCCACCGGTGCGTATAAAAGAGCGAGCATTGAGCTGTTTGTCCTGCTGCGGCGTCTCCAGGAAATCGATGCAATAGACGCCGCCAATGATGCGATACTTGCGCAGATTCACATCTGTTTCGAGCATGCCGTAGGCCTCCGGTCCGACGGCTCTACGACGCGCCTTATTCAGCTCATCTTCGTACTGGGCATAGAGCTTGTCGACATCATAGCTGCGCTCACGCGGCGGCTGTGAGCTGGCCGAGTGCTGTTCCTGTGTCAGCTGCTCCAGCTCCGATAGCGGAATGTCGCGGGCGCATTCGTCCAGCATCGATTGCAGAATCTCTTTGCGTTTGCGCCACTCGCGTTTTGTTTGTCGCAGAATTGCTGAGAGAGAGTGAAGAGTGGAAAATATGACAGATAAACGAACATAGCATGGCTTGGACAGATTATTTGGGGAGTAGATTCAGAGCTTCTAAATTGTATTCAGTCTTAGTTATGTGATCTTTACTGTATTGAGTAATGTATTTATCGTTTAATTGTTTGATTGAAATCGTTTCTGTTACGCAACCAGATTATTGTTGCAAATCATTATTACTAATTATTGTCCGGGTAATGACTGCTAATGCACTTTCAAAACTAAATGAATATTTCTTGAATGCATTTAAGTTCGAAGAGACTTACTGGCATTCTCGGAACGTGCATGTCTAAGTTGAAAGCTGCTGCAGTAGTCACTGAAGTGATCGTAGTTCAGCCAAAGACCCCGCAGTGCCGAGCTCTGCAGCAGCACAGTGGGTGGCAGCGAGATGTTCATCTCGATGGTGGGAAAATCGATCTCGTTGTGAGCCGATTGCTCACCTATGCGCGCCTTTGGATTGACAGCTCTAAATGCAGAGAGGGAGAGATCCGAATCAAAGATGGAGATATGATATAGAGTAAGGTGATGCTAGGACTATTACATTTGAGCGTCCTTGGAAAATGTCCAAATAAAACTTTGAAATACAGATGAGCTGTAGATGTGCTTGGAGACGCCTGGCCTATCGATTCTGCAATCAAAAGTTTTAATTAATTATGTCTGCTGTGCTAACCAAGTGCAAATAACTCACTCCATGTCGCGCTCAATGTGTGACATTGTCTTGTGGGTAAACTCATCCAGATGCTGCTTGAGGAACACTCGCATCTCCGTCTTTAGCTTGACTAGATCGGCGGCCACGTGAATAGACCGCGACCGGGTGTACGAAAGGGATTCATCCAGTTCGTTGAGAATCTAGCAATTTATTTAGTGGAAATCAAACCAAGGTGAGAAGTCTTTGATTCCAAACAATAGTCAAGGAGTTTAGTTTGCAGTACTCACGCCGAGCACCTCCTTGATCCGTTGCGCATAGACATCGCCGAGGTTGCCCTGCTGTTGCCGGAGCGAGGAGCGCGTCAGATCCGGCACATTGGCATCCTGGGTGAGCAGGGTGCGCTCATCGGTGCGCAGCAGCCAGTTGCGTGCCTCGAGCTGTCGCTGGGCAATGTCCGCGTGCCACTGATGGATGTACTTGCGCAGATCACTGGGACTGGCCGCATTTGGCAGTCCATTGCAGCGCATGAACTTCTCCCAGTCGCACTCCTGCCGCTCGCCCGCCTTAATGCTTTCTATGGTGGTGTGCACGGCGTCGAAGAACTTCATGCTATCCTTCAGCTGAGCGCGACGCAGACGATTCTCGGCTACCTCCTGCTGTTGGCGATGCTTGGCCTGCTCCATTTCCAATTTCTTGCGCTGACGCGCCTCCTCCAGCTTTTTTAGTCTGTATGCGGAGATGAGGTGTGAAAGTGTGGTTAGCTATATCTGCGACTTAATACAAAGATAATGGACCAGATGCCATCTAGCTTCCATTGCTGCATTAAAAAATGAGCTTCACATGAATTACTTTTTTCACGAGATACGAAAACCGATTTTATGAATATTTAAGCCTTTGCAGGAACTATTATAATTTTGTCGTGAAGTTTGTAACGCATTGAAGAAGAAGTATCCGGCTAGACTTGTGACATGTATTCTTGCAGTAAAGGGAAGCCATCTTGATGAAACTTGAAATAAATCCGTGTTACTGCTGCAGGCGGATCATAAATATGTCAAAGCTGGCTGCACCTGATCACTATATCTTAAAGCTGTTAAACGACCGATCGGCCGAAGGATGTGTTCTTGTATCAAAAGGTAATGAGCCCAAACTGAATAGTTATTTAGAAGTGAACAGGTGGCCTCTGGTCTGTGAGGGTTTGCAATCTTTGGCGTGGCTAAGATAGCAAATCTTTCTTGTTTATGATATTATTTTATAATTTTTTAAAAATTATTTTATTGTGATTTCACAAACTTTTCCTTTTCCATTTCGATGCGGAGCAGTTCGGCCTGTTCGGCCTCGAGACGGGCCTTCTCCTTCTTTGACAGCTTTTTCTTTGGTGGCTGTAATTAAATTGTTTTATTTATTAATGGTATTTAATAACGGCTTCGATGTCACTCAAACCCCTTTGCCCTCCTACCATCGTATAGTATGCTTGCTGTCCTTTTACTTGCGTTTCCGTTAGCTGCCAAGTGCCAATTGCCGCACAGTTGCAACTAGCTGTGCAATGTGCCACCATTCACCAGCTAATCTACCAGTTGGCTTGTATTGATCCAACTTGCGGCAACTATAGCTACTACCTGTTGTCGCCCATGTTTGGGTTGTTGCCAAGTTATATTCATTGCCCACGCTCTCCTGGGTACTACAAAGCTTCCGCCGCCTGAGCTTCAGCTTCAGCATCAGCATCTGCTTGAGCTTGAGCTGTTGCAATAGCGGCAACCACGGTGCCCCTTAATTAAATATTCCACTGGGGATCACAGCTTAGTACACTTCGGATTTTTCCCTCGCTTTTTGCACTTTTAACTCCCCAGAGCAGGGTTGAGAGGTGGAGTGGGAGAAGTGGGTTGTGGTTACCATGACGAAGGCGTCACTGGACTGGATAACAGTTGAGCGGTTGCTGCTGCAAGCGATAAACTTAACAACGCTGATTATTCTCGCTTTTGTCCCCAATGACTCCAAAGCCAAATGTGTCAGACGCCTTGTCACGCCCACAAATGGTTATTTGATGTTAATTAGTATGTGCCGGCCCTAAAGATGAGTAACGAACGAAAATGTCAACCCCAATTATTTCGGGGCACGAGCCCTCTTGGCCGTAAATCGAAAAATGGGAGTAGAAAATATTTTATGCCCCTTCTATGTGATTCAGCGTTCCATGATACTTAAGAGATTCGCTAATCTCAGACCCCCATTAGGTTAAAATATCTCTACGAACTCCATTCAAATATATTGATGATGCATTTTGCCAGCAAAATTGGCACAATCATCATTTTCAATTACTGATATTGATTTGGTTCTACTGAGTGAAATTCGCTTAAGCATTTAGTGTTCACCTAGTGGCTGATTGTGGTTTAAGTTGTTTGAAAGATATTATCAAGCCCTGCAATACTATTTATTTCTTTTTGAAACTAATAAATTTTGTGAATTTTTCTAAATTTTTTTTTCATTGTGTTTTTTTTTCAATAGAAAACTCAGAATGCTTTGCACGCGATTTACCTCATTTTTCATTATGCGTCCAAAAAAAACTTTGTCTACGTCCTGATTCTGGCTCGAATGGTATTACCAGTTCACCAGTTTCCTATTTTACGCCTAATTTGAACTTGTTTTTTTGTTTGCCAGTATCTGACACGACACTCGCCTTACTCCCCTCGCATTCTCCTATGTTAGCCGCTTTAGATAGCATAAACTTTTTTGGAGCAGGCTTTGGTTGAGGGGAGGTGTGTGGTTGACTGAGGTGCGATGGGGTGGAATGGGAAGCAGGTAGCAGTAGCAGGGTGACTACGACGGTTAATTACCAGGCAATTTAAATAGCAGGTCATAGCAGTCTGAACAGTGCCGCAGTACCGCGATGTCAGCTCACATTTCACATTTAAAATCTTTTCGGCTAATTGCCGAGTGCGGAGGCAGCCCCGCTTATCAAACTTAATGAGCAGCCTTTTGGGGCAGTGAGCAAAGCGACTACAGATCGCAACAGCAGCCATAACGTTTTGTTAATCAGATTCGAGTGGCATATTATATAAAGGAAGTGTCCGTTTTGATAGTGTGAAAATAAGAAGGAATAATATTAACATTGCCAGCGTAGTCTGAAAATGTTATGTAATACAAGCTTGCTGAGACAGAGAATTTTTCGAGTCTACTTTTTTCGAACGCTGACAAGATGGAGCAGATCGTCTTATTTTTATTTCTGAAGCGAAATAATAATATGGATTAAAAAAGTCCGTCAAAACAAAATGTTGTATTAATTTTACAATTCTTACAGTTAAAAAAAAAATATATATATATATAAATAAATGCATTAAAAATGTTATTTATTGCGGGAACTTGATGTTGTAGCTGAAGCTGTGACTGTGTGATACACTTATGTATATGGCTCGTATATGATATAAGTCTTTTCTGTAAGCTGCGGCAAAGCTGCGCCAGCTGGCCTATTGTAATATATGCATGTGTAAATATACATATGTATGTATACTATTTGGCCTCAGTCGTGTAAGTAAAATTGGTTGGCATGCCAATAAATGATAAAGCCGCATGCGTAATTAGCTGCGTTCTTTTTAGGCACGCACTTAAGAGGTTTTCCTGCCGCCGTTTATTTCAATTCATTTTATTTCTCTTTTGTGTGGTGCCTGACACAAAGATGCGAGCTGCTCAAGCGTAAGCTGGCTGAGTAGTGGCTGCACAATAAAAATTTATCATACGCAGCGTTGACGTTGACAGATCGTTGAGCTGAAGCGATGCCGACAGGCGACAAGCGACGAACGACAAAAGGACAAAGGACAAGCACCGACAGCAGTCACAATCATGAGTAGGAGGACAAGTTGGAGTAAGAGAAGGACATCTGCCATGCTCGTGCGATGTGATGTTGATGTGGTGGCACATTCTCACTGAATGCGGCACGCTTCAGCGCATTTTGCAATATGACAAAAAATTTGGTGAATATGAATCTGCTGCGCTGCTTGCGTCCTGCTGGCAAAGTCAGCTTCAGCTCAGCGCAACTCAACTGAACTGAGCTAAACGGAGCTCTGCCTCAACCACTGGCTTTAAGGGAGCTGATGCTGCTGTCCTTAACCCAAGTAAACTGAATGTGTTGAAAGCTACTACAGCAGCTTGAAAAATTGGGTTTAAGCATATTTTATTTCTTTCAACAGACAAATTTTCTATTTGTTTATTCATTTTTCTCAGTAAGTAATTCGGTTTTATTATGGGCTATATGAACCAATAATATTATTCCAGTAACTGATTGTTGAATTGTGGTTAAGGTTCATGTTCCGGTTCTCAATTTCAATCGTCAAAGTCGCACTTCCGGTTTCGGTTTGATACTTTGGTAGAATCTCATGCACTGACTTTCATACATTTTTTTGATCTGTGATCTAAGGTGTAAATTTGACATCATTTCTCAAAGCAGCCGTTGAAACGTTGCATTCTGCAAAGCAAAATTGCAAGATTAAATGTAGACAAGAGCGTGAAAGTGAGAAAATTCACATGCCTTACGTGTGTGTGTATGAGTAATGTATTCTGATAAGCACATACGTTACTCACTCCCATTTTCATTTGAACATTTTCTCAATTTCGCAGTTGCTGTAGGGTTAATGCAGAAACGTTGCAGTTGCCACACGCTTCTCTCAGGGCCCGATTCATTTTAATTTTTATGTAATTTTCTTCTTTTTTTTGTCTATATTTTAGCAGAGGGTATTCTCGCTATGTACTGAATTGAGTGGTGCATAGAGTACATATCTAAGTTCTTTGTTTTTTATTTAGAAGATGAACTTAGTAACTGAAAAAGCCTTATTTCTCGTAAAATTTGGTTTTGTATAATACATATATATATATATACCCCATAAAGTATGCATACAAATTCTTGTCTATCAATGCGTATGAACGGGCTGATCTCTAAGAATATAAGAGCGAGAGATCTAAAGAAACTTAATTTCCTTTACGCTACGTGTGGTTTAATTCATTTCTCGATAGCTCTCATGCAAATATCAATACAAATCTATTGCCGATGTGAATACAAGCTAAAAAGGTATTGATCCACTGTTAAAATTTATTTAGTGTGTTTGTGTGAATATCTAAGACGTGGTTGACTTATGATAGATGAAAGCTTGGGTTCAGGGTATCACCTAGTCGAGCTGTGTCGACCAGCGTACTCTTAATTCTTTGTGCTTTTTTTGCCAGCTTCGTGACAAATTGCTGCTCGCATCGTTGTTCAGATGCTTCTGAGGCTGCTGATGAGACTGCTGCAGGCGTGGAAAATTGCCAGCTAGTTAAGCGTGCAACTTGCCAAAGGCATACTGCAGCTATAAGCACACACGAGCACATAGGGGCACATAAGGAAAAAAAAAAAGGATGAGAGACAGATGCAAGCACACAATGACAAGTGCAATGAAAATTAATTACAGTCAATTTTACTTTAATATGCATATGTGTGTGTGTGTGTGTGCGAGTTGCTTCCTGACCAGATTTTTAATTATGCCTTCAAAGACAGTGGGCAACTAGCTGCCCAGAGGGGTGCCCACAACGCCATCCTCAGCTCTTGGCCTGCGCCTGCAGAGCGCGTTTGTGCGTTAGGAGCACTCATAATGTGCATATTACGACGTTTATTGCAATGTGCACATCAGAAGACAAACACTCTCACACACACACACACACACACCCTCTCCCCCACACCCCCCACCCGCTTCGACTATGCTTTGGTCGCAGCAGCTGTCAATTTTTGCCTTTGGCCATTGCAACCATGGGCAACTTAGTCCCCAGCAAGAGTCTGCCTCTGGCTCCTTCTCTGTCAACTTTGGCCGCTATATATCCATCCCATCTGATGCTGATGGAGCTGTCAGTTTTGATCGGCAACTGTTCAATTCTAGCATTCCAGTAAAGGGGGAAACCAATTTAAGCATTGCTCAATAGTATCGAAGAACAGCAGGTGCGTTTATTAGTTTCTCAACTAAACACTACAAAGGCGAGATACAGGTTTTAACACATATTACAAAATATTACAGGCAAATACAAATAGTCTACAGTTAGAGACTTAGAGAGAGAATTGTTTTTATTAAATTGTTTGCGTGTTTGTGGAATTATTTGGAGTTGTCTTAATAAAAGTTTCCGTAGCTACAAATAATCATTTTAAGGCAACCCAAGAACGGCTGACTGTAATACAGATTATGTAAATATTATTTATTAAAATAGGTTGTTAAAGCGGAACCGTTAGCCGAATCTATCCGAGAATAAGCCAAAGCCGGAAATTCAAAACTTTTTTAAATACCTGTAACTGTTGCGATTATTAACAAAGCCATCGTAACGGTACAACATAATGATTGTGTCTTAGACCGGTACGAAATCCAATACCGTCATAATTTAAAAAATTAAATTCATTACCTTTGCCAAGCTACGACAAGAACTAGATCCAGAATCGTAAACCGTAATCGTTTTGACATCTGTATTTGATTAAACATTTTATAAATGCATTTCACGTAATTACTTTCCATATATATAAATATATATTATTATGTTATTTGTGAATACACCTCGTTAATATATTGAGATTTCAAATTGCAAACTAAAATTTAAATTAAATTCTGGTTCTTCTCTTGCAGCTGTTATTTATGCCGGATATCATACTCATATCGCCAAAAATTAAATCAAAAACAAAAAAGGAAAGAAATATAAGCGGAAAATTTTGGATAACTGTGAAACCTGAATGTAATTAGTTTTTTTTTTTTGGATAAATACTCAGAAATGATAATAAAGGATAAAAGCCCAAAAAGCAAATCGAGGCCAGCCGCAATTTAGCTAGAGACATATGATAACTAATAACAAATAATCTAAACACAAATGCAAATATACAAATGAAAAATAATAAATAAATAATGCAAGGCAATAATAACTAATAGATTACAAATAATACATAATGAGCAACTCGTATTTATTAGCTTGAATGCAAACTAAGTTTTATTAGCTGAATAATAAAATTGACACAAAATAAACACTTAACAATAATTAGCATTAAAAAAAAGAAACATATAAATTAATAATTAGAAATTGATGCATCAAATTATAAGAAAATAATTTAAATTAAATAAAACCAATTTACGCCATTGTGATTCCTAATTTTAGACATTATGCGTCAAGAACTAAATAAGGCTTAAGATAAAAGAAAATTTTAAATTTAAATCAAACCAAAAAGTTGTAACACACAATAAATAACGCATCTAAAACCGAAGCTTTAAATAAAACAAACAAATTAAAAATAAAAAAAAACAAGCAACCACAAACAGAAATCGCGCCAAAAACAAATGACCAAAAATAAATGCCGCAAAAGTTGATGGGCAAAATATTTACGAAATAACTCAAAAACATAACTAAACTGCAAAACATAACGAAGGAGCAGATTGATGAAGTAGCAACAAACCACAAACACAAAACAACACAGAACGCAACGCCAGCCGCCCACAGCAACAACAACAACAAGCACAGCAACAGACAGACAGCAACGCCAACAACAACTAAACCGCAATAAACTCTGAGTTGAATTCCATCCAATATTATAACTTGCAACGGCCAAAAAATTTGTGCAGCCTCGAAAGAGTATGCAGCAGAATTTGTAATGCTGCTGCTAGCAACAGCAACGGCAACAGCACCAGCAGCAGCAGCAGCAGCAGCAGCAACACCCACAATAACAACAAAAAAGCATCCAAGCTCTTGTGTGCTCTCCTCTCACTCTCTTTCACTGTCTCTCTCTCTCTCTCTCTATCTCTCTCTTCTGCAAATCTTCAATACTACAGTTGTAAAACACTATAAAAAGTAAAGCAAAAGCTGAGGCCTATGCAATTATCGCCGCGTTCTACGTCAGGTTTCTAATCAAGTCGCGCGTTTTGGATAAGCTGCCTGTGCAACGCCCAAGCCGCCAAGATGACCATGTGGCAGAGTGGCGGCATGGGAGGCCATGGCTCCCAGAACAATCCATGGATGAAACTGATGGGCATCGTGCACAAGGAGCGCCGCCATACAGAGAATGTGCAAAGTCAGAGCGGCTCCAACGAGCGGAACTTGAATCAGTAAGTATACCGATTAACATGATCTCATTTAAGATTCAGTAGAAATTTTAAGAAGAACCTCTGTATTGGGATTTCGATTTGTTGGATCTCTATAAATATTAAGGGCAACTTTATTATTAATATTATAATATCTTAAATAACTATCTATATCTTAAGCTTGATATTGAAGACTGAATAATTTCACTCGTGCTGTTGAAAATGCATAAACATACAATGTGTTCAGACACGCTGCGAATAATAAATATGAATAGAAAATTAAATTAAATTATACTTCGAGACGCTAATGGAAGAGCAGAAGTCCCCGCTCAAAAGCCACACACAATGAGCAAACGGACTTGGGGAAATAAAATATATATGTATACCCTTGCAGATCTGCTAATATCTAAATTTTGGTCCACTGTTGGAAATCGTACTATATTCTTTTACATTTTCAGAAAATTTTTGGTATATTTGCGTAGTGATGTTGTGTCAGAAAGGAGTACGTGAATATCTATTTCGTTTCCACAACTTAAGACTTATCTTTCTACCAATTTTTCCTATGTCAGCTATGTAATATAGTGGTCTGATCCAGTCGCTTCTTACCTAATTACTTTCTTTGGAAAAAGGATAGATATAAACCAAGTTTCAGCACGATTGGCTTAACTTGATAGTCAAGTCGATCAAAGGTATAAAAAGAAAAATTAAATAAAGTAAAAGGGAAAGTAAATAATGAACGATTGAACACGTTTTCCAAACCATCGCAATGACTAAGAATACTTCAACTGATTTGCCGCATATACATATGCACATAAACAGTATTGCATAGTCCTTTGACTTCCCATCGTGATAATAAGCCACAATTTGCATAGCTGGTGAACGTCCAGCTTACTGGTTAGCAGGGAATACTTTTGAACGTGCCGGCACGCGTTTATTCTGCTTGTGCGGCAAGGAATGAAATCTTGTTTCTCCTCTTGTTTGATTTTAAAAGGGGTCTCCAAATTTTTTTTCGCGAAATAACACATTTGGGGAAACGTCTCCGAACCCAGAAAAAATATCTGTTCGTGATCAGCAACACCAGCCGAGCCGATATAGTCATGTGGGTCTGTCTGATTCTATACAAAATAGTAGTGGTTTTCTAACCTTTTCTATGAGACTTTATGAAAATCATTTACATCACACTTCTATGTCAGATAGCTCCTATAAAAACAATCGGTCCATTTTCATACTCTCAACCAATTAAAAAAAAATTAAAGAGAGTATAATGAAGTTTTGCAAAAGTAAAGAAAAGAAGAAAGACGTTCCTCCGATCCCACGAAGTAAATATATTATTGATCAGAATCAACATTCGGCTTAGTCATTTTCATCTGCACGTCCGTCAGAATATTCGTCTCTATGTCTAAAAATATGGAATATAAATTCTCATAAGCCATATACAGTTGATTTTTATTTTTTTGTAAAACTCTCTTCTTTTCTCAATTATCGATATAAGTAAATTTCAAATCTGAAAGTTATAGCCTTCCATTTAATGTAAAATATATTTGAACATTTTATTGATAGAATAATATATGTAACAGTTATGTTCAGGATATATCGTCGTCAGGCTCTCTAGATCATTGTTGAAGTAAGCATAAGGACTTCGGTCTGCCGGGGTAGCAGTTTTTTGTTTTTGTTTTTGTTTTTATTTGAGTGTGCCATGAGTGCTGGGAGTACTTGTAAAACATGGGCAAGTTGCGCAATTAAATGGCCCATCCCTCTTGCACCTACACCAGTTGGCTTTTTTCGAGTATTAATGTTAAGAAGCCTTCGGGCTTGAACAAGTATATTGAATTGTAGCTGCGCCTGGCTGCCTGCACATGCCGTACACACAAATCAAGGTGACTGTCCTGTATAGTTACCACACAACACATTCGCACCACCGCACCATCCGTGGCCTCTTGGGGCTTTTAAAATTGGCTATAAACGCGCTGAAGCATAAATGGATTTACACACATGCAGCTTGTTACTGCAATCCATTTCCATTCCATGTTGCATGCACTGACAAGCAACCATCACGCCACGCCCCCAGTTATTGTCATGGTATACCTCGTTCCCTCCATCCACAAGCGCCCTTCAGATAAATGTGGTACTTTCTGAGGTAGTTACTATTATTATTATGGTAGTGGTTTCACCTTTTTTTCTTGCCACATGTACTCGTATACAAAGCAATGGAAGCGTGAATATCTCTCGACTCACATTTAAAACAAAGCTAATAGAATCAATTGGAACAATTGCCTTGGGCTTGTACCTGTTTTCGACTGACTACAATTCCATTTCACATTGAGATTACGAGCAGCCAAATTTGTGGGCAAGTTTCCCATTGGGTGGGAGTACAAATATTTTTCAGAGAATTGAACTCATTCGACATTTATTCTCCAAATGAAAAGCAATTGAAAGCCAATTGAAGTAAAAATAAATAATAAATGAAAAAAAATTCATTTATATTTAAACATAAGTATATATATATTTTTTTTTTTAAACATACGTACCATAACTTCCTGAAGCACAGCAAAAGCATCCTCAGTATTCGGTTGAAACGGAATTTGGAAATTTGTTACGAGTTGGCCTTAAGTGCTTTGCGGCAATACACATGAAGTGGTTCAGTGCTTACAACTTGGTTAGGTTCCTACGGCAATGGCAATGAATATGTATGAGTGAAAACGAGTGTGGAAGGCAGCCCTCGAGTTCGATTGAGTGGTTTGAGTGGATTGACTTAAATAATACGAGTCCCCACTCAATGCTCTTGTCTGTATGCAGCATAGCTAGTTAAACGTTTAAGACTGTATGGCATAGAGAAGGACTGAAGTTGAACAATAGATGCATTTGAGGAGAATCATGGAAAGTGCGTATGACACTAAAACGTTCAAAACTCAAGCGCAAACGAAAAAGAAAATTAATAGAATCAAGTGAATTGATGACTGACAAATAAGCAAATAAACACAAAGTTAATGTTTCTAATCACTGATAACTGTAAATGAGAGAAGTAAAGTGGGACAAAATGTAGAACAAATATGTGTGTATACTATATTCAAGGGAGATATATAGAGAAAGTGATAGGTAAGATGGAATAATATAGGAGTGACACCAATAGCAATTCACAAACAATTTTTATAAAATAATTAAGGAGCATCTATCTTGATTATGATCAGATCGAATCTAAAAATATAAAATCCTCTTCTTACAAGTTTGATAAAGATTATTTAAACATTTAAAATGCTTCAAAATTATAAATGCTCCTTTAAACGTTTCTAGTTAGAATTCAAAGCAACTGCAAATACTACATAATATTTAGCATGCATTAATCATAGTGGTCATAATTTTGTGGCACAACACAAGCTGAGAAAACGCCCACAAGCAACAACAGCAAGAATAAACAACAACAATAACAATGGGCACATTTTATGCATGAGCACGACGAAGGTCAAAAGAGGCTGTCATGAAAGGGTTGCTGCCCCTTGCTTCATTGCCCGCCCATCCAGTTTTATGTGGACACGGTGCGCATGGGAATGGTTAGGGGACCGTGGCGACCACTTAGAACATTGGACTTGAGATCAGACACACGACGAGCTGACACTCCACCCAATATAAATGTGCGCCTCAAAGTAGGCAATGCCATTTCTGTGTATGTGTGTTTGTGTGTGTTTTTATTTGTTTGTCTCGGCATTGGTGTGTAGTGTGCAACAGTTGAACATTTCGAAATTTGCATAAATTTTGTTACATTCCTCACTGGCCGCGTAGCATGTAGCATGTTTGTAGGTAAACTTTGAATTTG